CAACCAGTTCACAACAGATACACATGAACCCTGGCTGTAGGCGTGACCACCTGTGTATTTTTCCTGGATGATGCCATCACGTTAAGTGTTACAGCCAATCACCGAAACTTGGTACCGAAAGACGAGGCATGTTTTGATACTCTGTAGAACCGAAGCATTTCGGTCGGTACCATAAAAGAACCGAAGTTCGGTACCCAGTCCTTTGTGTTCGTCCTTCTTGATTCGGTGCAGGGGCGCGCTATTTTTAAAAACCGAGGAGTAATACAACAATGGATAACCACGACAAAAAAGCAAAACTTGTTTGCGGCCAGAGCCATGTGACATTTGATGTATGCGGTTGCAGAAGTATAACCTGCCCTATAAGAAACTAAAGACAAAATAGATAGAAAGAAATCAGTAAACAATTGAAGAAATTGAAGTTATTAGTAAAACATATGGTGGAAAATAATGATGTTTTAATGACTTTAAGCTTTCAATTTAGACGACTATTTATGACTTTTTAGGACACCCTGGAAATATTTCTCTCAACTGTAGTTTATCCCCAGAGAAAGATGTAAAGCAGAAAACCGGGAAAAAACTGTCTGCTTTTCTGTTTTTTCCCCAATATGAAATAAATAAAAAATACATAAAACCATGGAAAGAAAGTAAAAAACTAGCCAAACTACAGCAAATGTATCTAAATTAAAACACGTTTTAGCATACTGTTTTAAAAATCCATTAATAATACTAAAGTCTTACCTTTATTAGTCCTGATCTTTGTTTTTTCCAGACGAGTGTCAATGTCTCTGTTAACACCAGAGAGCTGAAACACACACTCATACTTGGTCCAGTCCTCAGATGATGGAAGTTTCAGGTCAACGTTCATCTGGAAGGTTCCATCATTGTTAGGGAGGATCTCTCCTTTCTCCACACCATCATGGATCTCTGCTCCATCTTTCCTCCAGAACATTTCTGCTCTGTTGGGGTAGAAACCTGTAGCAAAGCAGCTGATTGGAGAGGAGGAAGACTTCTGGAGGATGGACACTGATGGAAGATCTGGAGATGGAGAACATCAGAGTGTTAATATAAACTTTGGGGATGAATGGCCAGTTAAAGCAGATTGATTGACATTTTTAAGGCTGAATAAAAGCCACACAGAAAATTGAGTCAAGTATAAAATGTAGTGAAACAAAATTCCCTTTGAACATGTCTAGTAAAATAAAACATTCAAATGATCAGTTCAAATAAAGAAAAATCAGGAAAAGTTTCTCTACCTGTTCTCATCAGAGAACTTCTTCCATAGTTTACATACTTCTTCAGCCACTCGGGACACACTTGGTTGAGGTAGTTCTTTCTGTACTCCAGATTAGCTCTGTCATTGTTCCATCTGTTTGTAGTAAGTACAGACTGTGGGTTTGGAGCAATCCAGGTGTTTGTCTCTATGTCCCATATTCGCCAGTCTTCCCCATCATAGCCAAACTGTCGAAAGCCAGTAACTTCTTCAGTCTCATCATCCCATTCACAGCCGTACATGTACTGGTAAATGTGGACACCTGGAAGACAGTAAATACAATCTCACTTTAGTTTTCTCAAAATCATCTCTATTATCTATTTTAATGTGTATACACCCTCAAACATCTTAAAGACAAAGCAAGATTAACTGGTAAGAAAAAAGTTACTGAGATGTATCCATCATAGAAACTTTTATCATGCACAGATTTTTTGCCTGCATAGTTTATTTTCACTGATTAAAGCACTGTAACTTCATATAACTCATAATATTGGTTAGGGATGCACGATATTGGGATTTTGGCCGATATCCGATATTTTAAAACTCATGTAGCCGATAACCGATATCGATACTGATGTTAAAGCTGGACAGAAATAAGTAGTCATTGAAAATAGCAGTTTAGTTATCCATTTCTGACACTTTGAAACATAATATAT